TGGGATATATATACATATACCCAACACAATAACACACTTTTCTACGGAGCCCCATAGGGGACATGGTCAAAACGGTGATTGTAACCTAGTTCTATAAGCACAGGCAGAGCCCTCTACTGGATGCTATGGGTACTACTCTCATCAATGATACGCGAGCGTTCACACACTGAAGTTGTATAAACGTAGCCGGCCAATCAGGGCGAGCCTACCTGAATGTGCGCGCAGGCTCACAGTATATAATGTAGCTACGCCTCCTGACTGTCATCCTACACCCTCTTCAGCGAGCGGCATAGGAAAAACTGGGCTCCTATCTCACACAGGCTCGATGGATAAACACCCTGTCGTCAGGATGACAGTCAGGAGGCGTAGCTACCTTATATACTGTGAGCCTGCACGTGTATTCAGGTAGGCTCGCCCTGATTGGTCGGCTACGTAAGGGATGAGGAGACTGAGAGAAAGGAAAGCGAGGACATGGCTAGTGAGGAGAGACAGGGAGGGCGGACACCACCCACTCAGCCAGCAGCCAGTCAGCATACGAGGGAACCAGCAGCCAGTCAGCATACGAGGGAACCAGCAGCCAGTCAAACAGATCTATTACAACAATTAAAGAGAAAATTAAAGAGCCAAGAAGGAATCACCAAAAAAGCAAAGGCTGCACTAAGAAAAATCAGGAAGGAAAATGCAGCTCTCAAGAAAACAATGAAAATTAGGGACAATAAATATAAGAAAACGTTTTCAAGAAGATTCCCCTTCCAGGAATAAGGACACTGCAAAGAAGGATGCAATGTTACGTTTGAGCCTGGTGTGTTGACATAGGTCTTTGATTTCCTAAAATTGAAGGCAGATAGATTGACAGACCTTGAAAGGGAGTGTGTGTTGACCTTGGATGAAATGGCAATCACACCAAGTGTGGAGTTAGACATGATTACAGGCAAACTGTACGGTGATGTGACTTTACCAGGTCACACAGGGGTGGCAACACATGCTTGTGTGTTTATGTTGGCTGGAAACACAACACGGTGGAAGCAAGTAGTGGCATATCATTACACTGGCAATTCTACCAATGGAGCAGAGTACAGGCCAATCATTGATATAATACAGAGGGCAGCATCCATAGGGCTACATGTGCTTGATGTCACCACCGACATGGGTAGCCCTAACCGAGCCATGTGGAAATCCTTTGGGGTGGACCAAAATAAAACATCGGTGCCACATCCAGCAAAACCAGACAGGCAGCTCTATTTCATGCCCGATGTCCCACATCTGGTAAAACATTTAAAAAGTGCCCTTGTCCGTGGGCAGGTCTTCATAATTCCTGAGGATGTTGTTAACAGAGAGAACTTCCCCTCTAACGAGGTTTCTGTGGTCCCCATTAAGGACTTATTGACCTTTCAGGAAGGGATTGCCTTAAAAATAGCTCCCCATCTTTCAGCTGCAGCCATCGAGCCAAGTCACTTTGATAAGATGAAGGTTGGTCTTGCTCTAAATGTGTTCAGTAAGGCTACAAGTGCTGGGCTGAAATACATGGTGCAGCAAGAAAACCGCCCTCTGTCATACCTGACGACAGCGTGGTTCCTGGAGCAGGTTGATCGTTGGTTTGATCTGATGTCATCTCGCCATCCAATTACAGCCCTGAGCAGGCTCAAGATGGAGGAGTACCAAAAGGCCATCACCTTCCTCCAGAACATCGTCCATCTGTTTCGTGGGATAAAGATAGGTCAAAAGGGAGGTTGGAAGCCTGTTCAAACAGGGGTGATAATGGCAACAACATCAATTTTGGCCATACAAGAGGAGATGCTTACACAAGGACACAGGTTTGTGTTAAAGTCAAGGTTCACACAAGACTGCCTTGAAAATACATTCAGCTGTGTGAGGTCTAAAAATCCTGTCCCAACTCCAGTGGAATTCCATCATGCACTGAGAATCATATCTGTGGGGGCAGTTCCTCACCACCATCAGCTCTGGGAGCTACCAGCTTTTTGGCAGACTTCCTGGACACAGGGGAGCCAAAAATCACTCCATCAGTCAGAGTGGAACAGCTGATGGCGGTGAACAGAGCAGCAGCATCTGACCTCACAAAAACTGAGAAATGTATTCTCTTCCATCTTGCAGGCTACATCGTCCACAAAATCATCAAGTTTGCCAGCATCTGTGAAAAATGCAAAATTGCAACAGAGCACCATGATGAGAGTCCTTCTGGTGACAACAGCTTGTTAGTGGACTTGAAAGACTTCAAGGCAGGTGCTCTTTGTCGTCCCTCCCAAGAAGCCTTTGACTTCATTCACCAAATTGAGGAACTATTTAGGACCAAGACTGGTTCCTCCCTCATGCAGCTCCCCAACGCAGTGGGTGTCTTGGAGAAAGAAGCTCAGGCCCTCTCCAGCAGGCTTCCGTCATGCTGTGGAGTACAACAAAAACTCGTAAAAAGATTCATACGGCTGAGGCTGAGAATTGAGGCCAAACAAATCAGAAATGACAGAAAATAAATAAATTAAAAGATGGCCATTTTGGAAGCAAGAGCCAATCCAAAAAGGTGAAAAGGAACAACAGCAGCCAAGCTACCACATCCAGCAACCCCCAAACAGATCCACAGCTGCAATCATTTCCATTAGCCGTTGCAATGGAAATATTTGGACTAAACATTGCTCTTCCACCTGCCAGCACCCAGCTAACATCACTGCCCCTCCACCCGTAACATCACTGCCCCTCCACCTGCCAACATCACTGCCCTCCACCTGCCAGCACCCAGCCAGAGGAGAGCAAACAACAAAAACAAGCAAGGTGTCCCGTCATGTACCTGGAAGTTTGGGTTGGCAAAATGGAGTAAGAGAGGGACTTGAAAAACCTTGGTGGCTCTCTACTCATGTTGTTACAGTTGTCTTGGTTACAGCTCTCAAGTTTTTTTTTGTGCCATTTCCACATCTTTAGAAAATATGAAATAAAAAATTGAAGTGAAATCAACCTCTTCTCTGGAGAACAAACTTCGATTTCTCTGTCTTGTGAGTTTGCAGTCTTGCAGTTTTGCTCCTCCACCTGTAACATCACTGCCCCTCCACCTGCCATACAGTGGGTTACTAACAAGATTACTTATATAATACAGTGATAGAATACATGTTTAGTATGCTTACTTATATAAAACAGTAGTATTAAACTTACCTTGTGTTTTCACACTCACTTAAGTCCCTCTCCCTTTGCCATCAATCCAAAATCAGCTGAGCTGCAACATTATACAGACAGGTAATAATCAACATAATCACAAGGACACAATATGGCTCTGCTAAAAACACTCACTCTTACACGCACCAAAGTTATATTTATCTAATATTTAACTCCCTCCACCCCCGCATACAATCCCGTTTAGAAGCCCCTCTTCTCTAATTCAACAACGTTGGACCAAATAGACATTAAGAGAACGGAATTTTACAATTAAAAGGCTCTTCAACGTCTGTTGCTAACTTGCTTCGGTATCCTAGTTTAATCTGTTATCTGTAAACGTTCCCTAAATCTACTAATTTAGGGATAATCCACTGACATCCTTTAATACATATGTTAATTTGAATCAGATGTACTGATAATATCCGCAATATAAATCTTTAAACTTCTTCTTACCTTTAAAAGTCCGTCACGAACGGTCTATTGTGCTGCAACTCTACAGCTCTGCTAGCCTTGGCGCTAACTTCCGGGGAACGATTGAGAGGCTCCACGATCCGCCATTGCTGTAAAAAAGTGGTCCATTGGAGTGAACGGAGATGTCGTAACTCTTCTATTATATGGCTCTGGGCAAGGCCAGGCAGGAAACATGTGATTTATCAGTAACTTTAGACATCGTAACACAATTTTAAACGAGATTTTATTGTAGATTATACATTTTACTGATACCAATTGTATGATATTTACCTTGTTCATAAAAAAAAAATATATATATATTTTTTTTTAATTTAAGATTTTTTTAAAGATTTTTTTTTGTATGTGGGAACAGGTGGGGCGGCGCCCCTATGGGCCGGCCGCCACTGGTTTTAATGTTGCTTCACCACCGCATATACATTGAGCAAAGACCAATCAGCTTCGTTTGGATCGGGGTTTAAGGTACAGCAGAACAGTGAAACATAACTTTAACTAAACTATTTTGCTTATTGTACTGTAGCATGCAAAATTACTCACCACTGCATGGGGAGTTCTACTGCATATTTCACTACCAACAACTGTTCAGAAGAAAGGGAAACTACGACGAAGGCTTCGGACACGTTCAACACAAGAACCGATGGCTTCTGAGAAACTCTGCTGACGCGGTGTCCAGTGAGTCGGAGGCATAGAGACTCAAACAAAGTGAGTACCATATATATCCTTTTGTTGTTCATAAATGGTTATTAATGTGGCATCCCTTCATTTAAAACTGTGTCTTGTTTCTCTCCTCAGCTGATTTAACGGTGAACACGGAGAATCATGACGATGCGTTTGAGGCACCAACGAGTGTTTAAATCTGTGTGTTCATAATACGTGATAATGTGTTGATGCATAACCCGCCTCAATGGTTTAACTTTAATCAATCAGTTTTGATCATTTACCGTTTGTTTAGTTTAGAATTACCACAACGAATCACAGTTAACTTTTTGGAAAATTCTATCTTTTGGTCACAGTGTTAATTAAAAATAGGTTTGACAAATAGGAATACAAAAAGTAACAGATTTGATATTAAAATCCTGGGTATGCAGAAAGATCCAAACATTTACTAATTTTTTTGTTGCAAATGTAGATTCGAAACACATTGGAATTGTATGTCTGTGCAGATAATAATAATAATATGAATTATTTGCTTTTTATTAATTTATATAAAGTTGTAATTTCTGTGTGAATATCTCAGGTTTCCCCTGAAGCTAAATTGTTGCCCCAATACTTTTTTTTCAACACTTTCAATAAAGCTCTGGTAAATTAAATTGTATTCACATAACACTTTTATCCCAACAACACCGATAAAAAGAAGTTGTAAAAAAAATGCAAATACATGTAGAAAAGTTGTCTGACTATAATAAAGGAAGTAGAGTACAAATTAAGTAGAGTACAAATTAAAGTTTTTTCTCTTGAATTATTACTTCAGCATTCTCCAAAGCTCCATTTGATGGTTTCCTAAAATGAAAAACAGAACAAATTATTGTTGTATACAATTATTTACACCGAATACATTTGTTTTTCAAATAAATCTGTATATCATGGCAAGCCGATTTAGCTTTTATTCGTTTCTGGAGGATATCAAAAAATCCATTCTTACTAGCAGAATTGATTTTTAGATATCCTCCAGAAATGAATAAAAGCTAAATGGGCTTGCCATAGTGTATACTGCACTCACTCGGACTCAGTGTGGTCCTGGAGTTCCACATTGAGGGTTTCAGGCAGTAACAAGCAGAGACCAGCAGCAGTGATGGGGACGATGCCGTATATCAGCATGGGGATGGAGTGATGGTAGACGTCCAGGAGTCTCACCAGTGGAGCCAGGATCCCCGCCACGCGACCAAACATCGAGTTCACACCAAAACCATTCTGCCTGCAAGAACACACAATGGTGAATGGACTGCTTTCATACAGCGCTTGAAATGCAATTGAAAAAGAGTGACATTACCTTAAAATAGTTGGGTATAATTCTGTAGTGTACACATAGATTACGTTGAAACTGGCAGTAGCAGCAAACGCCCCGATGACTGCTATGGTTGTCACCACGGCAGGAAGATCTGATGGGGAAATAATACATTGCAAGTTGCAACACATAGTGAACGTGAAAAAAACGACACGTCTATAACAAATGTTTTCATGTACTATATACCTTTTGGGATGGCAAGGACCATGAGGCAAGAAGCTCCCCCGAAGAAAAGGAAGCCCACTAGTCCTGTCCTCCTTCCGATGCGTTGCATCAGAGCGTAAGAAGTAGCCTGTGCAGGAAATTCGACGACTCCAAAGATGAACTGTGTGAGGTAGATATTGAGGCCAAAGCTGCCCACATTCAGGGTCAGTCTGTAGTAGAGAAGATTTGCTGCAAACCTGGTACAGTTGGAGAATAAGAAAGACATTTTGTTCAAGTTCCCAATCAAGGATTAATGTGACAAATGTGAACAATTAACAGCGTGGCGATTAGATATCATTGATAAACATTAGTCATACTGATTCACTGACTGAGAAAGAACAGAGCAATTGTTATGAAGACCCACCAGTTGTAGCCCATTATGAGAGTACGTTTTCTCAAATACGATATCCGGAAGATGTCGAACACGTTTCTTCTTCCAGATGTTCCCTCAATCTCAAGCTTAGGAAGTGAAAAGAAAGAAAATGAGTATGTGTCACAAAGAGGTTTAAACGGAAGAGGATTAGGGCCACTTTTTTGAGAAGAAAAAAAATCGGAATTGTGAGGATTCGTATAATTTTTTTAAATTATTTTATATTTAAAAAAAAACGTTTTAAACAGTATTCCAACTTTTCTTAAAATTCAGATTTTTTCTCAGATTTCTGACTTATTCTCAGAGAATTGACTTTTTCCTAACAATTCTACGGAGCCCTGGAGGGTTCATAGAGAGAGAAATAAATAAAACGAGGCCACGTTTTATAAATTGCGCACAATATACTTTCTCATTCGCACGAGATACTTTCTTTTTTTAAGACACATCGAACTGCCCGATTACTACGCCATACAGTATACGCCGTTTTATGAAGAATATGTCCGGTCGCCAGGGTGTGTGTGTGTGTGGGGGCATTTGTTTATGATAGTGTTGTTCGTTCCGGAGCACTCCGACAGGACTATATCAGTAGCAATACATCGAGATTAAACACATTTCTTTCACTTGTTAATACACATATTACTATGGAGAACCAGATGTGGGTAAATGACTGTTCATGGTAATTTGAAAACAAATGCCGGTGTCGGACACACAGAAACACACCGAACACACACACACAGACAGAGATGGGGTCGTTAAAAAAGTAATATATTACATATTACTTTAAAAAAAAGTTATATATTACTTTACTTCGTTACCCTCTACATAAAGTAACGCGCTACTTTACTTGTTACTTTACTCGTTACTTTACTCGTTACTCGCAGGGCCGCCTCTCCTTACAGGCAGATCACGCAGACTGCGGAGGATGCTTCATTTTGCGGAGGGAGCCTCATCTGAAGCGCAAATGCGGCGCACCTACAGTGCGTTACTTTACTCAACATCCTCCCTCTGGATTCGGAGGTCCTCCTTAGCTATTAGCTTCACGTTAGCATGTTGTCTTTGCAGGTGTTTGTTGAGGTTTGACGTTGTGTTTTGTGGATAAAAGCTTCTGGCCTGGACACAGTTTGCACCTCACCGTCACATTCCTGTCCTTTCTTCGGACGAACTCAAAATAATGGGCATACCTCCACCCCTCGAAAGTTATCGCTGTTGACTCAGCCATGTTTATGCACTGCATGTGGATGCGCAAGTCGCGCAAATGTTACGTAACTATAAACCTGTGGCGGAAATCCCTCTTGTCTGTCAAAGGGAGAATCTAGTAATTATTTATGTTAGTAGGCTAACTGTAGTGTGAGTACTGATTATATAAAAGTAACAAAGTAACGCCTGTTGGGCAATGTTAGTAACTGTAGTGTGATTACTGAATTATAAAATTATGAATTACTTTGTAACGCGTTACACCCAACTCTGCACACAGAGCGGAGCGTAGCACAAACACACACACATCATGCACCCTGGTGACCAGACCGCTCCTTCATAAAATGAGTAATAGGGGGAACTAGAGAATGCAATTCCTGAAGAAATTGCTAGTGGGAATGCTTTATGCTGAAAAGCTAACGCTGAATTGCTATGTTGAAATGTAATGTGTAAGAAGAAAGTGAAGAATTTAGATTGAAATGATACATGAACACTGGGGGCTTGAATGTGTGATGAGAGAAGAAAAGAAAGTAAAAAGGCTTGGAAAAGCAGCAGAATATTTGAACTGCAAACTTTTGAACTAACTTGATGGCGAATGATCTGTCGCCATGCCAACGGCATTTGATGACATCCCATAATACGCTTCGATGCGTTGATGGCTGCATCGTTACCAAACCTGTGAAGTTTTGGGCCGTTTGGAGCATTTTCACTGAAGTTATGAGAAAACCGTGTTTCATGGTGAGCATTGTGTTGCCATGGCAACGGCATTTGAAGAAATCTCAAAACTGTCCCGTAGATGTCTTCACGGCAGGACTGTTAGCACACATGTGAAGTTTGAGCCCTTTTTGAACATTTTCATAGGAGTTATAACGACATCGTCTTTTATGGCGAGGGATGCGTTTCCATGGAAACAGCATATGATGACACCCCATCATTGACGTAGAGCTGTTGAGGGCTGGACCGTTAACCATTATCTGAAGTCTGGTGCTGTTTTGACCCTTTTCATAGGCGTTATGACAACATAGTGTTTTATGGCGAGGGATGCGTTTCCATGGAAACGGCATATGGTGAAATGCCAGATTTGATGTAGAGCTGTTGAGGCATGGAGAGGTGATATACAGTTGAAGATTGTAGGACGACCGGACCGTGTCCATTGGAGCTACAGCGACATCGTGTTTTATGGCGAGGGATGGGTTTCCATGGCAACAGCCTATGGTGAGATCCCAGATTTGGCGTAAAGCTGTTGAGGGCAGGACCATTAACCATTATCTGAAGTCTGCTGCTCTGAGCATGTCAGTTGGAGTTATGACACCATCGTGTTCCATGACACAGGTGTTTATATTTGAGCTAACGACGTGTCCAGAGATCAAAGGTTTCCATGGTGATGTGCAGTAATCAGTGAGAGGAGAGCATTTTCATTGTTCTGAATGAGCGATAAACCTCTTACATGTGAAAGTTTTGTTGAAGAACCGTAACAGATATCGGTGAAATTTCAAAGCGTGAAGCATGTCAAGGAACTTGAGCATCTGAAGTGTACTTTTTGTGTACTTTCGGATTAATGATGTGGCCTTTTTGGCAGATTAACTAAAGGTGTGCGGCTGCTGTGGGGAAAGATGACGCTGAATTTACAATGGGGTTTAATGGAGACATGTTGAAAGTTTTTGTCACTTCATGCCCTCAAGAGGCATTTTGTTTAATTATTTTTGCTTGATTATTTTTATTCTTCAAGCTACGAGATGTTTTCCTACGTTTCTCATGAAAAATTATGTCTCAGGAATGTAGGGTTTGGGAATTATGGCAGGTTTAAAAAATAATAATAATATGAAGGTGAATTTCAATCTCTCCTCCACTCTAGCTGTGACATCACGCACTCTAAATCTGAAGAAGGCCTCTTTACCAAGGTCTGAGCAATGTTTAATATCTCTAAAAGTACGAATCAGATTTAAAAGTTGTGTAACACGAATAATGTCAGAAAGATGTGTAACATGTTTAAGTTGGAATGAGGTTTCTGAGTGAAAGTATTAAGGAGCAGTTAGCAGTTGAAGAAGGAGCAGTTAGCAGTTGAAGTTGCATGAAGATTTTTCAAGTCTGAAGAGTTTCTCCATTGACTTCCATGTTAAAAATGTGATGAATTATGGGATGTATCTCTGGAATTATGAAAGTTATGAATTTGAAAAGTAATAACAATCGATTCCCGACCGAGCTGAACGTTTTGATGTTTGAACGGAGTTTCTGCGATGTGGAATGTGGGAGAAGAAGAGCAGCAAAATAACCCGGCGGAATAATAAAGAATGTCGTGAGTCGAAGAACAGACGGTGTGAATGCTGTATCAGCATTCCAACTAAATAATCGGGCAGTTCGATGTGTGTAGAGGTGTGTGTGGTTAAACGTAGCAGCCTCGATCTCTATTCAGCGGTTCTAATGAAGGGAAACACAGTGAAGTAACCAGTAAAAGGCACAGCTCTTTGCAGCTGGTGGCCTGGTGCTGCTCTTCTCAGATTCTGCTGAGTTACACGTTACTGCCTCCAGTGCCCTGTACGACGAAGCCAGTTCAACAGACCCTGGATATGTTTGAGTTACCCGGCTTAACTAACCCTAACAAACGTGATCTCGCTAAGCGGTCCTACGAAGCTGGTTATCAACTCAGTAAATCAACCAGGGTTTCTCTGTCCGGCTGAGTGCGCGTTCATGTGAAAAGGAAGGGGTTAGCGACATTTGACCAATCACAAACATGGAGAAGCGTGTTGACAGCACAGCATCATACTTCATGAATGAATAGTAAATAGCAAACCCTGCTTCGTAGTACAGGCCACTGGTGCCGCAGAGATTTCATAAATTTAAGGAGGCTTCCCTTCTATAAAACAGCTGTGGGCAGCAGATACTGTGAGAGTCACGGACATGAATTCATAGATCAAAGCAGACTCTTCTGTTTTGCGAATCCGGTGCTTAAACAAATAGCTTTAAACCCCTGGCCAAAATGTCCCTAAATGAAGTCCGAGTTTGAAATATATCTCAAATAATGTATGCACTGCCATTATAAACATAACAGTCTGCAATGAAACGGTTCTTCTTCTTTCGTGTAACGCAGAGGTCCAACTCGGTGTCGTGTAGCCATGCCCGCATCTCTGGTCCTAAGTCGAAGAGGCTGGCTTCCGAGGGTGGTCTATATAAAGGGCAGGTGGTTATTATATGTTCGGCAGTCTGTTCAGGGTCACCGCACTCGCATGCAGCACTGTCTGCCAGGCCCCACTTCTTCATTTATGTTTTGAAGCGACCGACCCCAGTTCGTAGGCGGTTTAGTGTGGTCCATTGCCGGCGTGGTAGGTCGTCTCCTCCTATGGCGCCATCTCCTGGGTCCCAGATGTAGCGATGGATCCGGGAGGGCCCGGCTAGCTCCAACTCCTGCTTCCAAGCTGCCGCCAACCATGCATCTCTGGAGAGGTCCTCAGAGGTGGAATTGAGAATCTCTTGTGCTGCCTTGTTGAAACGGTGGTCTCCTCTGTGCTCCACTTCCTACTTGGCGCACCGGTAACTTTCGAGAAACTAACGAAATACTAACGAAATACGTTAAAGTATATCGTGCACACAAGATACTTTTTTCCCCCTCCATGAACCTTTGGGCCGGAGGTTCCGTACAATTCTGACTTTTCTTCAGATTTTTTACTTTTTTCTCAGAATTAGTTTTTTTTCGGCTTTAAACTCAGAGGAGGCGGATAAACCAAAATGTGGACTTTTTTCAGGGTTCCAAATGTTCTCAAAACTCAGATTTCAGACTTATTTTTCCCCTCCGAATTTTGGCTTTTACTTGTCTTTTCTGACAGAAAGTGATTCTGACTTATTCTCAGAATTCTGACTTTTCCAACTGATCTCATGTGGCCCCAATCCTCTTCCGTAGGTTTATAGTTTATAGCGTTGTTGACACTGCTCACCTTGTCCAACAGATGTTCTGGTACCGTGGTCCCGTTCAGTCTGGCCGCCCTCTGCAGCTCCTTCAGCGCCTCCTCCTTCCTACCCTGGGTGATCAGCCAGCGGGCGGACTCTGGGAGAAACCTTAAGATAAGATAACACTTTATCCCGAAGGTAAACAATTACAACAAACACAGCAGCATAACATTAACACTGTACAAAAAAGACGGGGTTACAGATGGGGTCCAAAACTAGCAAGCCACATGAATGTCTGGGAGCAAATTCATTTTATATGCTACACAAATATGACCAGGATCCGTTGAATTTTCAGAATATTGGGTTGCAGATTAGAATTATCCGAAGGGGGGTTCGTTTAGCATGAAACACTTGAAATAACTAAAGGATAAGTTAAAAAATAAAGTAGAAATTAAGTGAGGTCAAAGAAAACTATTTCTGCTAAAAAGTCAGTGTAGGAGCCATGACACATGTAGTATTGCGTTTTTGTTTTCATATAAGATATTTGTTTGAGCACTATTGATTGGTTGGCTTGGGTCACATGGATATGGACACTCATTATAATCCTGTTCGCCTGCGTGAGGTGTGTGGAAGAGAGGGTGACACAGGGTCGTTGTACTTTTTGTTGACCGCAAGTTGAAACGATTGCTTCAATAATATAACGATGTTCACGTCCAATGAGAATAAGTTGATTATCCCAGTTTTCATGAAACCACATTATTTTAACAACAGAGCTTTTGATCTCAGCGAGTTCTTTTTTGTAGCGCGACACACAACATCAAACCGGCCCTCAGCCTCTCAGCGACTTTGTTTGTTTCCTGCTGCTATAGTTAGCAATGATTGAGAGTCAGAGCTAAACATTTCAAATGTGTGTATCTCACACTGCACTGCAACTTTAATTCATGTTCCTTTGTTATTCATGCTTTATTATCTTTGCTTTTAAATGTGTTTTTAAATGCCATTTTATAATTTGTTTCTTAATGCTCTTAATGTCTTTCATTTCTGTAAATCACTTTGAATTGGCTTGTGTTGAAAGGTGCTATATAAATAAACTTGCCTTGCCTTGCCTAAAGACACACAGGATCAAAATCACACACTTTTACTTGTTATAATTCAAACCACTCTTATCGCGAGTGTAAGTGCAGCCTTTACATGTTCATAATTTAACTGTAATGTGTATTTTCTAAGTGTACTAATTATTATTGTTGTAATGTTTCATGCGTGCAATATTTCGTCTTTTATTTTGAAGTCCAAGCTCACGTCTCGTTATGCTGTTCTCGCGTGAGTTAGAGAGCGAGAACATGAGAAGCACCCTCAGAGTAAGATGCACGGATACTTAAAGCTCCGTTAGTTTTGTATTCTTATACATATAAGTTGTGAAGAGAACTGAAGAATACTTCCCTCTGTTTACAGAGCATGCAGCCCAACGAGGTATGTTGTTTGTGTTTGTATACTTTTATGTTTATTATCTCACATGCTGTGCATGTTATTGTGTGTCTAACACGAAACTATGTTTGTCATTTATACTGTTTGTTTGTGTAGTTTTCACGGTGGATTCGGAGGAATAAACCCGTTATGAGAAAGCCACTTGTGTCTGCCTGTGCTTCGAGGGAATTACAGTGAAAACTCGACTGTCCATCGACGCGAGTGTGTCTTAATTGACGAAGCGGCAACTTCAGAGGATCACGGACTGAGCACGAGGCTGTCTTCAAATGGCCGCCGGAGGAGGAGAAACTACGCATGCACACACAGAAGTGGACGACGCGCGCAGTTCTTAAAAGAGCAACGCTTCAAGACAGAGCCACAAAGAACTTGGACACTAAGAAATCAATAGTGATCCGAGTAAAGGGCTTCTGTAAAGGTTTGCTAAACCATTATTACCGTGAGTGCCAACTATAGTAGCGTGTGTGGTTAGCGTTTTGACTTATTTGCTCATGTCATTTTACTAAGGCTTGTTAATTAAGGCGTAAAGTTAAAGGGAACACAAGTGTTTTTATTTCCAATTTCTAATTCAAAGTGTGTTTTTGGGAATAATAAGTGAAAGTTATTTCATTGAAGTCATATTTTTGAGTATATTTTTGAAAGGTGTAAAGTTCAATTAAGCTGTTTTTTGCACATTTTCTATTTTAAGTGCATTTCTACCTCTATTGAAGTCTTGTAGGGTACATTTAAGTCACACTTACATTTGAGTAAGTGTTGAAAGTTCATTAAAAGGTTTAACTGCATTTTGCTGTTTATAAAAGTGAGTCACTTTAAAGTAGTGATTACTAATGTCTAAGTCTAGTGAGCCTACAATTCAGGTTAGGGAAAGTGCAGAGCCCCAATACGAAGCTGTGGATAACACTGAAGCACAGCAGCTAAGAAGAGGTCAAAGAACTAAAACTCCTACAGAAAAGGGTAGAGAAATGCAAGAAGAACAAATGAAAACGCTCCTACAAAAGTTCAACTACAATTATGAGAAATGGAGAACACAAGTGAAAACAGCTAAGCAGCCATTATCTCAAACAACAGAGTCTTTGTCTGAAGATTTGCTTAAGGCGAGACACCCCAGGTGAATAGGGTAATTTTTTTAACTTAAAAGTATCAGCTAGAAATTTCTCCAGTTAATTACTTACAATAAGGCAATTGTTTTTTGTATTACAAGTTTTCTGAAATAGCATGTTTAAATATACAAATTATCCATTATCTCATGAAATATGCACATATTTTAACACATTTCAGGAATCGAAATCTGAACTTTGGATAAAGCCAGGTTCAAAATTATTGTTTCATTTTGTAGTCATATTAGTATCTAAGGCTTTTACAGAAGGGATATTGGATATCTCTTTTTATCACTCCATAAATCAGAAAATACTGTCAACAGCCCTAAAATATCAATTTTCGCCATGTTTTAGGTATACAATGTTGTATAATTCAGGCTATGAATGATATATGAACAAACCCTTCTGTAAAAGCCTTCATAATATTGATAGGAATATAACTGGAAGGTTTGGTGTATGTACGTGCTACTGAAGTTGAAATTTCGAACTCAGAGTAGGAGAAAAAACTCATTTTGAGAAAACGACCTTTAAAGATTGTAGTGAGGCGCTAGCTAAACCCTCCTGTTCTTTGGATGACAGCTTGCGCCTCGACGCACTCCGTGAAGGTATTTCATGTTCGGGGTCATTTGTTTTTTGTATAACCTTGCTTCGTGCAAGTGACAATTGTTGTCGTCTTCTCTGTGAAAGTTTTTTTCCCCGTTCTTTTGCTATTTTGAGATTTCAATTTCTAGCGGAAAGCTAACCAGGAAGTGTTTTAGCACACCACGTGACGCATCTGAACGAATCACGTTGTCAGAAATTGACACCAGCCAATGAGATTTCGTTTCTTGGTTTAAGACCCCTTTGTGCTTTCACGATTGGCTGCTGATACAAAGGAAATGACCATATTTGGATCCGATGCGATTGTGCAGGAGAGACACAGCTTTCCAACGATATCTCTGATGACATGGTGCACACAGCGGTCGCGGTACTTTATGTTACGTTAGAATGCTAACTTTTGGTGAATTTAGGATAAATCTACAGACTTAAATAGACAAACTATAGTAAAATAAACACTTAAATGTGTATTTTGTACGTTTTCCTTCCAAAAGCCTGAAAGAAAACATGTTATAGAATCAAAATAGCTCAAAATTGACCAGTACTTGAAAAACGATGTTTTTGCCTGCCGTGTCTCGCCTTAATGACATAATTCATGATGTCACAAGTTTGTCAGAAGATGTCCAACATGTTTATGAGGATCTGCGTACAATCTCAACTCCAGACCAGGACACGCGTCGAAGAGTGGATCTGTGTGCAGAGATTTCTAAGTTTGTCATCATCAGAGCCTCAAGTCTCCTGGATGGAAAGGTTCCAGAAGGAGAAAAGAAAGATTGGCCTGAAGCAGGTTCTCTCTTTAACTCAAGCACCTACACTTCTTCTTCGAAAAGCAACTCCAAGCAATCGAACCAGTCTTCTGTGAAGCGACAAGAAGCTGCTGCTGAGGCTGCTGCAAGCCAAGCTGTTCTGAAAGTGTTACAAGAAAGAGAACATTTGGAGATTCAGCGCCTGGAAGCAGAAGCTAAAAGAAAGATAGCTGATCAAGAGACTGCAGCCATAAGACGTCGTTCAAAAAGAGAATCAGAAGAGTTAAGACATCGTTCAGAAAGCGAGGAAGAGGAAGCTAAAATTAAAGCTCACCTAGAAGAAGAGCATGTAGCTCTACAACAGACTCTGGATGACAAACGGAGAAAAATACAGCATTTGGAAGCAGTAAAAGGTTTAAATGCAGCACGAGCAAGAATGCAAGTGTATGACCAAGAAGAGTCCATTAAAGAAGAATGGAAAGATGTGATAGAGAGGGATCTGGTAAGTAACCCAGTGCCTGCTCCCACAAGTCCTCAACGACAGGTTGTCACTACTTCCTCAAGTGAAAGTACAGCAGAGCTTGTTAAGGTGCTAGCTGGTGCCTTAACTGCCAACAGAATTCCAGTTCCTGAACCCTCAGTATTCAGTGGGGATGCATTGAAATACAATGACTGGAAACTTTCATTTGAAATACTGATTGACCAGAAGAACATCCAAGACAAAGAAAAGATATACTACTTAAGGAGATATGTTGGTGGACAAGCTAAGAAAGCACTTGATGGTTATTTCCTGCTCGGAACCAAATCTGCCTATGTTGCAGCATGGGAGATTTTGGAGGAGAGATATGGGAATCCATTTACAATTGCAAAAGCCTATAGAGACAAGCTTCAATCGTGGCCCAAGATAGGATCTAAGGACAGCTTTGAGCTCAGAGATTTTGCAGACTTTCTCCGTAGTTGCGAGGCTGCCATGGTCCATATCAAGGCATTAGAGATCTTGAATGACTGTAATGAAAACAGGCAAATACTTTCAAAATTACCAGATTGGCTAACTGCAAGCTGGAATCGGAAGGTTACTGAAGTCCAAGAAGACAGTAAACAATTTCCCTCCTTCAGCCAATTTGTAAAGTTTTTGACAAGAGAAGCAAAGATTGCCTGTAACCCTGTCACATCATTGCAATCACTGAAGCAAGGTGAAGCTGGAAACACCAAATCTCAAAGACAACAAAGCTTTGCAGCAAAGACA